GTACATAGGTAATGGACCAAAAAACAAGCACAATAGTAATCTAAACAATTTTGAAAAACATTAAATTTGAAACGAGGATCAAGAATAAATGAAATACCATATATATGCGGAATATGTGAATAATATTCTAAAAACTTTTTTTCATGAAATCACAAATATAATGAACGTAAGAGGGACCGGAAAATTCAGAAAAAGCATCGGCGAGATTAACAACTTCAACATAAAATTGGTTTGTTGTAGGTTTAAAAACATGACTAAAAGTTTGAGTTGCATTATCAAAATATACGAAAACATTGAAAAAATGCATAGTGTCGATGTCAGCCGCATTTATAATATAGTTAGCATATTTTTAAAAAAAAGCAGGAAAATGGTCTTTAAATCTAATAAGTACAGGAATTAAGTTATAAGTACTATTCCAGTGAATAGACAAATCTCTAGGAAAAGCATAATATTTCACATGTCTAACCCTCAAATATTCAAGTCATTGCACTTTAAGTTGATTATTAGCCCAAATAAGTCTAAAACCCCACATTTACCATCTTCATAGCATCTTCTAACGCGACTAGCCCGTCTTTTACACATAAATTGAGAATATGACATGCACAACGCTGATGAAAAATCTTACCCGTCAAACTACAAAGACCACACACTTCACGCAATTTAGGTATAGCAACAGTATTATTGCTAGCATTATCAAAACTTATAGCAAACACCTTATCAATCAAATTATACTCAATTAAAATACGCTCAATGAGAATATAAATATTATCACACCTGTCATTAAATTTACGAAAAGCAAAAACATGTTTATGCATTTCCAAATCATCATCAATATAATGTGCAGTCACACCCCAATAATACAAATCATGATAAGTATCCTTCCATATATCACTATAAATACTAACATGTCCATCAAAGCTTGCGTTTTTTTTTAATCTATCCTTTTCCAAAACATATTGTCGTATAACTTCTTTTCTAATGATTTTGGGACTATAATTTCTAAATTGAGGATTTAAAGAACCTTGAGCATAAGCTTTTAAAGCAAGACGATCAGAAAAAATAAAATGCAAATTTTCTTCATTTATTAATTGAGACATAGCAGTTAAATGCTTGGAATCATCATATGAGAAATTACCATAGGGTTGACCAGTTGCAAAGCTCGATATTTGAGTTTGCTTCCCCTTGCCTTTTAATTTCACATACTCCATGGGGTGACAGCCCTTAATATGTCTATTGGCGGCGCCGTATCCTTGTGAAATCCCCAAGCTAATATTTTGTCATAATGTTTGCAAGTTGCACACCACTTCTCAGTTTGGGTGTCCTTCCACTTATTAAAATTATTTTTCATAGGAGAGATTCACTTTTTTTGTTAATCCAGGTGTCGGTGCTTGCACTCCCCTAATCCTGGAGTCTATGAACTACACTCCAAAGCTCCTAGACAGTTAAATCCGGATCTGATCACAGTCAGCCTCGTCAGTACTGGCTTCAAAGGACGAATCCAGCAGGACTTACATCACCCTTTAGGCTGCTCCTCCCACCACACGAACCCGCTACCTTTATTACCATCCTCTCCTTTCTCAGCCGCTGAGCAACTCCGTGAAGGTGGGAAGAATCATTGGGAGCAAGACCTCCCTCTTCTCCCCTAAAACATGGTAACCTTCCACTCGGTGAGCTGGAATGGTTGGTTAGGAGAGATTCACCTTTCTAACCGGGCTGGGATGAACCAGCCTTGTCCTCATCGGGGGTTCCATCGTCGGGAGTTCTCCCGTCGCCATGATCCTCTTTGGCGTCGCCATCCTCAAGCTTTTCATCAATCTCGGGATTGTCGTCTTGTTGTTAAAATCTCCCATGTCCTTGGGCTAACAGTTGAGCCAATTGCTCATCGGACATCGCATCTCTCCGTTGGTAATCCGTATCAAAATCATCTCGGCTTTGAGAAGAAGATCCGACATGTCCTTTACCTTTGCCTCGCGAATTAGGATGGTTTTTCTCAATCTCATTATTTCGGTTGCGGTGGAGGTTACCCATATCTACAGAATGTCTATCTCGATCCATCTTAAATATAAACAAATACTCCATATTAAATTGTAACAATTATGTTAAAGTGAGTACAAAATACAATGAAAATTAATACTTCTTATAAAAATGTAACTAAAACATCATTTTATGTAAGAAAATGTGACTTTATTGTAACTTGACAATCAAAAGTGTAACAAAATGCAAGTAATGCGACTACAATTAAAAAGTAGGTAATGTTACAAATTCTACTCATAAAATTGTAACAAATGTGACTTTTATGAGTAAACACTTTTCCCTATGTAACAAATTTTATGTAAGTAATTTGTAACAAATACTTATTTGTGAGTACAATTAAAATGTGACTTTTATATTAAAATGTTAGTAATATTATAAAGTATAATTAAAATGTGACTTTTATATTAAAATGTGACTACTAGAATTTTTTTTATGTCAATTACTAAGCGTTGCAATTATATTTAGGTTGAGAGTACGTAATATTTTTTATTCACAATGGAAGTTTAAAATGTTAGTTATATCTTCACAAATGCTAAAATATTTTAAATTATGTAATTAACACCATAAGTTCACATTTTTGGAAGAAATAATATGTAACCATGGTGCTAAAAAACTTTTTATGTAAAGATTGGAATATTTAAATTGCATATGCAAGTTTGATGTATTTACCTCACACCCCTACAAAATTTGGGGTATTTGAATTATTTTTCCCTATATAATATTATATTTGTATTATGTATACACACATTATTTGTTCCATGTTCTTTTTAGGATATAACCATGCTATTTTGACATTCAAGAAAAAACATGCTATTTTGCCATGAAAATATGTCTTTATTTCAAAGAATAATTACAGTTTACTATTTACTATCAATATCTATTAACTAAAATGACATTTTCCAAACTTAATGTTAAATTTAATTAACAAACCTTTCAAATAAATAAGCTCAAAGTTTGGAGTTTTTTTCCGGAATAATGCTAATTAAATAAATTATTCTCGAAATATTGTCGGGTTAAGAATAATTCCCAAAATACTGCTCGAATTAACCACGGTTAATGAAAGCCGTCACTCCAAGTGGCGGCTCTTGTATTACTTCACAAAAGCCGCCACTCCGAGTGGCGGCTCTTCTCTTATAGTACAAAAGCCGCCTCTTCAAGTGGCGGCTCTTCTCTTACGTCCCATTTTGTACATATATAAACTGCAGTATGTTTCAAGAATTTGTTTAACTGTCTTCCCGATTGAATTTTGAGTTGAAATTTGGTATACATAAACTAGACTTGATGAGGAACATTCTCAAAAAAATTCATCAATCTCACCGGAAACACCCTCTGATGGTGTTGTCCGCAGGGGGTTCCGGTCAGGACGTCATGACAAAAGGGTGGTCCGGCCACCTCAATTTGAGGTGGTTTCCGGTGGTATGTTTTGATGAATTTTTTTGTGTATGTTCTTAATAAAGTCTAGTTCAGTCATACCAAATTTTAGCAAAACATCCAATCCGAAAGGCCGTCAAATGATTTTTGAAAGATAACTGCGCCAGATTATACATATAAAATGTAGTTATCTTTAAAAAATCAATTGACTGCTTTCCCGATTGAGATTAGTTCTGAAAATTGATATGGATTAACTAGGGATGGAATAAACTGGGCTGGGCCGGGCCGAAACCGGCCCGGCCCGCTACTGTGCAGGCTTGGATCGGACCGGGACCGGTTGGCCGGTTCCGGCTTTTAGCCCGTTTGGGCGGGTCGGGCGGGCCGGGCTCGGGCCCAGTTTTGGGCGAACCGGCCCGAACGGTTCGGGCCGGGCCCAGGTCAATTTTTTTTGTTTTTTCAATTTTTTTGGGTTGGCCTGGGTATGATGGGGGGCATTTGAGATGGTTTGGGTGGTTTGGGGGTGAGGGGGGAGGGTTGGGGTTAATTAGGAAAAGCCAAAAAAAATTACAAGAACCGAGGCCTGGCCCGGACCGGACCCGGGGTTACCCGGGCCGGTTCCGGGCCTCCCCTTTCATGAACCGAGGCCCGGCCGGGCCCAGGCCCGAACCGGGCCCAGGCCCGAACCGGGCCCGAACCGGAACCGGTCCACCCCTAGGATTAACTAGACTTGATAAATAACATACAAAAAATCAGCAAAACATCTCATCGAGAATCACCTCAAATTGAGGTGACCGGGCCACCCTTTTGTCATGACGTCCTGACTAGAACCCCCTGCGGACAACACAATCAGAGGGTGTTTCTGATTGAAGTTTTTGATGAAATTTTTTGATCATGTTCCTCATAAATTCTAGTTTGTGCATACCAAATTTCAGCTCAAAATTCAATCGGGAAGGCAGTTAAACAAATTCTCGAAACATACCGACATTTTATATATGTACAAAATGGGACGTAAGAGAAGAGTTGCCACTGCTTTTGTACTATAAGAGAAGAGCCAAGTGGCGGCTTTTGTGAAGTAATACAAGAGCCGCCACTAAAAGTGACGGCTTTCTTTAACCGTGGTTAATTCTAGCAGTATTTTGAGAATTATTCTTAACCCGACAGTATTTCAGGAATAATTTATTTAATTAGCATTATTCCGGAAAAAAACTCCAAAGTTTGCTATGTATTTTCAGAATTGATAGCGTTCTAATTTTACTCTTGATGAGTATGGGTACAAAGTGGATCCAATCAGCAGCCCCAAACCGGTCCGGAACCAGGACCACTAATCCACTACTGTGCAGGACGGGAAAGGGTCCCGTTTTCTAGTCCCGGGTTCCAATATTTGGGTCCAAACCAGGTTGTTCTGATCCCAATTTAATCCTGGACCAACCAATTTTTGTATAGCTTAAAACCTGATAAATAGACCAGAACGGGTCCGGGTCCAGGCCTCCTAGGTACCCAGAACCGGGCCAGACCCGGAATATAACAGTTCGGTTCTGGGCTTCACATTTCACTGACCAAGACCGAAACAGGGCCCATCACTAGCTAGTACAAAGTTACCAATAAGAGTAAAAATATTGGTATGCCTACCCATATACAAAGTTACCCACATTTTCAACCTTGGAACCTTTTCCAGCATGTCTTTACTAGTATCATACTCATACGGATTACAGAAGGTATGGTAAAACTCATGCATAAGAAAAAACAAATATTACATGCACCTCCATGCACTAGAGATTAAACAAGGTGGGCATTCACGAAATTATATGCTTTTGAGGCTGTATACCCATTGTTCCCTAGATTACAGAAGTCAACAAACAGATAGAGTAACAGACACATTGGAGGTTCTCTGGACACCAGATCCAAAGGTAACTAACAAACTTAAACAAAGGACCAGTTCATAAACATAAAGCAGATGCAATGAACAGTTTCTTCTTCATTCAGAACCTTCCATGCCACTGCTCTCTCATAGGAAACCGGCCTACCCATGCTCGACATGCATATTCCGCCTTGTAGGCATGCAAAGCCCTGTCAATAAAACATTGTTTAAGGAATCAAGGAGAAAACAACACTAGGCTGTGCAGCATAGAATCTTGTGGCAAATAAATAAAAGGCTCAAGTTTCGTGTCATGCTCAAGAACCGGTAGTATTTTTTAAAAAAAATCTTAAAGGGATTAGGTTACATCTTGATTCTGGAAAATGCCAGTGAAATACAAAAGGGAGGAAAATGTAATGAAGGAAATTTTCAATGGGTTCAAACTCAAGAAACCAATTTTAATTCGTTCAATCTCAATTTATTCCATACATTTCTAGTAAATTAAGTTTATGAAGAACAAACATATTCAGAATTTTGAAAAGTTTTAACTAAATTTGATTTTCCTTTGTATTGTACATGGTCAACCCAAATTAAGAAATCTTATCTAACTTGTACCATTTTTCTTTTCGCTACCACCTTTCTCCTTGTTCCAAACATAGCCTTAATCTAAATGGGTCCTTGGATGTCTTTCCCTTATCCTTTCCCCTGACCCTAGACTTCCTTACCCTTTGTGAAAGGAATGACGAAATGCATGTAAAAACTTTGAAATAATTTTGATGATTCGAAAATATATGAAGGCATAGAGAGTGTTTAACATATTATCCTTGTGCTTCAAATTTCATAAGAAAAATACTAACCTGTTGCATTATCTGAGGGAACTCAGTGCAGAGATTCTTTCTTCCATGATCATCAAATATCTTTTCCAAAGTAATGTCTTGAAGTGCAACTAAAGTTGTCTCGAGCATGTCAAGACCAGCCTGGTTTGCAAACGTGAAAACGGGCAATGCCTGCAGATGTAGTTGAGGCCAACAAAATTCATGTGAGGTGCAAGATCATTATTACAGAGTTGTCTGTGGACAGACAACTTGTTTGGTGGGGACAAACATGTGTACACAAAAGGTGTACACATTTGGTGTACACCAAGTGTGTACGCAAAGTTGTAAGTAATAATGTCATGTAAAATGAGATAGAGTATGTTTGAACCCAGAAAATGAGAGTCAAAGAGGGAGAAATCCCAAGTAAAGCTATTATATTATGTTTGGTTTTACAATGGAAAATGCAAAGGAAAATGATTAGTGTTCCCTTGCCATTTTTTAAAATTGTGCATTACCCTAAGATTTATTAATCCTTTATCTCAAAGATTGAAACAACAAAAATGACTATCAAAGAATATCTAAAATAAATGATTGAGTTTTAGCCTATTTTTATTTTCCTCCACATTTTTTCCCTTGCCTAATTTCTTTCTCTTGTGCTACACAAGTCCAAACGATCCCTTACTGATTCATCCATATTTTTACCTGAAAGTACTACAGTAACACTCCAGAAAATAAAGGACAGGGACCAAGAAAAGTGAGGTAAGGTTTTTCATTTATCAAACCTTTGCAGAGCAGCAAACAATAGCATCCTGGTGATTCCATAGAGTTTTCAGAATTGAGTCATTTCCATCTCCCATGGATTTAAGAAGCTCCACACCCAAGAAACACCTATGGAAAGGGGAAACTGTTCATACAATTCCCAGTTCTTAAAATGATATTGTTAAACCTTAAACAGTGTATGACAACTCTAACCTATAACTCTGGCAAACCCAACGAGCGATAATATGGGCTTCTGGAGTACCCATTGGCATACGGAGCCCACAACGGGAGCCCAAGTGAGAAGGAGAAAGTGCTATTGCTACCCTCTGAACGGAAGAGATAATGCTACGCACATATTGTCGCGCCATGGCTGCAACATTCTCCTGCGTGTGGCTTTCAAAGGCAAACTGGAAAGCAATGGTCATAACAGATCTTGTAGAGCAACTATTGGTTTTGAGGTCATTAAGCACTTTACTCTCAGCTGTCCCTGTCTCAAGAGCAGAGGTGAGGTCCAGGGTTCGGTTGGGGCTGGAAGACTCCTGTGCATGAAACATTTTAGAATTTAATACATAAATACAGAAAACAGGCAAAAAACACAAAAAAAATTGCTTTGAAAGTCCATTAGCTTTCACAGTATACTACATCTAGTGCACAAGTATGGATTTACTGCAACATTCGGACCTTATCTCTTATCACATCAATTTGCAGTTCATTTTTTACGAATGAAATAAATTTATGGTCATGCACAACAGTAAACAAACAAAACTCAAGGACCAAAAAGGCAAAAACGATAATAACCTGCTAGTTATGTCACCACAACTAATGTTTTCTGATCCAAAATAAGTATGGAAGATAATAAACAATTCTTGTCACTTTTGATCATTCCCATTATTGATCCCTGACTTCATTTATTCCAGTTCAGTCCTTACAAGGCCATTTTGTGTACAATTTACGGATGATTTTTGTCATATGAGTTCAAGCAAAGGGTCAAGTGACAATAAATCTATTAGGCATGCTCGAAATGTGAACAAAATAAAAGCCAATCCATGACTTCATTTATTCCAGTTCAGTCCTTACAGGCTTACATGACCATTTATTAGGCATGCAAGAAAAGTGGACAAAATAACAGTTGAGGACCTTCAGTGAGAATGGCCTGATAGTTGTGCGACTAATAGTGTAGATTTGGTTCTAAACCAAAACAAGTTGGAAGATGAAAAGCAAACCTTTCCGAAGTCGAGGGGTATAATGCGAAAACCAGAAGGGAGGAGAGGAGCATCATCAGCAAAAGATGCGTCAATAGGAGCAAATATTAGCTCTGCGCATGTGCCAACAGCATTTTCATCCAATCCATTGCACATCTGTAAAATTAAATATTAGTGTTGCATCAAAAAACCTGAGGTAAATGAATAGCCTTTTGAAGTTTAATAAAGAAAATGAATTCTTTAAACAAAAATACAATGCATGTAAAGAAGGTTGAAAGTGTATATGTCTTGGTGCCTGTTTTGGGGTGCCTTTCCTAAACCATTTTGTCAAAACGTAGATCGAAAAGCGCATATTGGAGTGCTTTTAACTTTTAAGGGTTACAAACTGTTTAATTAATAGAAATGGCTCTAAATAGGAGTAAAAACGCTTTGAAATTCTAAAATAGGAGTATCATGTTTTTTATTCCTTGAATAGGAGTAATCTGCCAATTTTGGGGGAAAATGACATGTTTAAAAGCCTAGTAATGCCAAACTTGGCAGAAATTTACTCCTATTTAGGGAATAAAAAACATGATAGTCCTATTTTGGAAAATTGATAGTAGTACTATCTACCCTGTAGCCTAGTAAGCCTAGTAATGCCATGGTAGTCCTATTTTGGAATTTCAACTTTTTTACTCCTATTTAGAAAATTGACTCTTTAATTAACTCATAACTTAAAAAAACAATAATGATTTTGATTCAGTAAAATCATTCCTACAAGCGCTTGTCTGTTTCAAAATGTAATCCAATACAGGCTCAAATGTATTACATTTGAGTGTTTTTAAGTTGACAAAACTGTTTATTTAACTCAAAATTAAAAAGGGGAATTTTGAGTTTGCACCCCACTTTTTGGGTGATATTGGACTTTGCACCCCATTTTCAAAACTTTTAGACTTTGCACCCTATCTACAACATTTTGAGAAGAAAAATTCTTGAATGGGGTGCAAAAGCAAAGACATTTTAGGGGAAATAGGGTGCAAAGTCTAAAAGTTTTGAAAATGGGGTGCAAAGTCCAATATCATTCAAAAAGTGGGGTGCAAAGTAAAAATATCCCATTAAAAACACAATGATGATTTTGATACAGTAAAATCATTTCTCTAACTAAGTGCTTTATATGTTTCAAAATGTAATCCCATAGACTCATAGATATCAAGAATGAATGGCTCCAATACAAACAAATTGCTCTCTTACTTGCAACAGAAACAAATCTCTTGACATCATTTCATCTTCAGGAGAATGGCCAACTCCTTCAAATTTAATTACCTCCAGCAACTGCTACAAAGAATATCTAATAATAAAATAATGAAAAAAACAGAATGAAAGCACATGGAAAAAATAAGTAATCAATCTACATGCCTCTTCATGCTCAATGGTGTGAGCCAATGGGAGTGTTGTGTGACCCCCATAGTTAGAGAGACGGGTTCCAGGTAAAGTACATGGACCCACTTTAGCAGCTGCAGCCGAATAAGCCTCAATATTACTGTCTGCCCATTCTGATCTGTGCTCCCGAAGAAATCTCAGAAGTACTGCAGGTGACACATTCTGGGGGGAGCAAAGGAAAAACAAGAAAAAGTCAAACTTACGAAAGTTTCCTTAGAGAAGCTCAGAAGCCAAGATATTCATTCAATGGTGAGATAGGTATATGGTCCTACATAAAACTTTATCTAACCTGAAGAAGCATGGAAGCTTTGGCACATAATACTGCACTGTTCATTGTAGTAAATCCATTTGTGTAGGTGATGTTTGACCCCATTTGTTTGTCTGGAGAAGAGTTAATGAGGACAGTCACGTCATCCATTATTCCATCATTACCGAGCAATGACCACCCCTCATCAGTAAATCCATTTACAGCCTCATTAAAACCCCTGTTCAAAAGCATTCGGCTTAATATAACTATCAAAAAAGTCCATTCTGATAGAGAGATTTGGAGTGCTCTGAGAGGAAAGCTTTGTATCTTGATAAATAAAATGTTTACAAAGGATATAGAAGTGTTATATAGTCTGTCATTCACATACGAAGTGTCCAAATGTGTACCAAGACATTTAGAAGATGACTAAAATGTTTAAACGAATTCTGTCATCTTTTGATTTTTATAAAATGTCAAATATAACTTAGAATATAGAGTTAAATAATCTATATCCTTTCAAACCACAAATCAAAGACCACAAAGGTATAAGACAATTATTCAACCTGCTCAGTCTAAGACTTAATGCGCGTAAAGCTGCCGGTCGCCTTCCCCAGTTTGTGGCACTAGACTGAGAAACTTCTTGAGCTATCTGTCTCAGTTGGCGGAGAGCCTGTGATTTAAAACAAGTGTAACTGAGCTATTTTCCTAATAATATCAATGATAAGATTAAAGTTATGAGAAAATAATTACAGCCATTGTTGACTTCTGAGAAAGCACAGCTGATGACTCATACAATGGGCGCAACACTTCTGGCACACTCCTTGCCTGATGATGAATTAGAGAGAAATAAGCCAATGAATGATCATATTTCACCAACAAATAAAGAAAGTTACAATAGAATGTAGACAATCGGTACATAAGGTCCAGTTTTGCAAGGATTGCTTGACTGAATTTTCTGACAGAAATTATTCGGTGACATCCACTTTAGACACATAAGTATGGCTATGTTGGCAAAAGAAACTGATGCCTTTTAAGTTAAAAGTCAGTTTCTAACTTCTAACTAAAAGATTATATCAATAACTGATAAGGTTATCTCATATAGTCTTTGGTGTAAATTGGCTGACGAGTTCATATAAAAATGTAAAATTAAAATGAAAGTTGGTTATAATCATTTAAAAATAAAAAAGAGGTTGCAAGTTTAACATTATTAAAAAAACTACTCCCTCCTTCGTGTTGAAAGGTTCTCACTTTCCTTATTTGGGTGTCCCATTTAAAGGTTCTCATTCCATTTTAGGAAATAATTTACTCTCTTTGATTACATCTTTACTCAAATTTCTTTTCTACTCATTGCATGTCACGTCTCACAATTTCCCCTCCCCCAATTTATCTCCCTTTAATTACTTTCACTTTATATGTGTACTTTTTCTAAATTTTCTCTTTCCTCTCTTTTTTACCCAAATTACTTTATTTAACCACTTGCCTAAAAAAATGTGTCATTTACTCACGGGAACCTTCCAACGGGACAGAGGGAGTAATTTCCTAATCTGAAAAAATGCTCCATGAATTTTTAAAATAAGCACCAGAGCTTAAAACAAGTTGGCTCAGCCAAATGAAACTAGTTTGTTAATCTTTCTTAAAGCATATTGGTAGCATATAGCATGCCCAACATAAGCCTATGTCAAAAACTACTTATTCTGATTGATCAGCTAAAAAACAGAACAAGAGGTCATTTTTAATAAAAAGATCATGGAACCCTTGCAACAGTCTACTTATTTTTTAAGGTTTATTTCTGTCAGTTTTTGTAGTTGTTTCTATGGACTCATAGTTCATTTATCAGTAATGATTTTTTCTCTCTCCCAGTGCTGGTTTATTATCTCTTCGTTAATGATCTTTTTTCTCTTTTCAATATATCAGTGATGGATGTGCTACTCTCTCAAGCTGCCATTCTGCTTCCCATGCTTCCTACTACAGTGTACTACAGGGTAAAGGAAGGTGACTCTTTTGGAGACACTCATCTGAAGGCTGTGGCTTATTAAATCTTTTTTCCTGCGTACTTCCTATTATCGTTACGGATACAGTCATACAGGTATGTTAACCTTGTTAACTTTATAGTCTTTGTCCGCCGTTTGATCAACAAAGAGTGTAGTCCTAATTAGGAAAGGTGGTCCTATGTCTGGTCACAGGGCTTAAATGTTCAATGTAGTTTTATATTTTTTTCTTGCTTTACTTGAGCTTATATAAGTCCTATGGTCCTAACCCTCAACCCACCCACAAAGAACAGCAGAAATAGAGGATGATCACTACCAAGGGACCTATGTTTACCTCTAAGTTCATATGATCAACAAGATGGATAATTGATCCTCCACCTTCGCAAGGTCTAATCAAGTACCCACTAGGCAGCACCTCTGCTCTAACAAAGTTCTGCACTGGTGGCATGCTTGGACCATTTTGTACATTACCAAGAGATCTTTCACATACCTGTAAATTTAATCATGAAATTAAAAACAAATGTTAAATGGGAAAAGACAAGAATAGTAGCAAATGCTGGGCTAGATAATCGCATACCACAAGACTTCCATCTTCCATGAAAGAAGTAAAGCGCAACAGCCAGAAGTCACGAGCTGGTGCTAAAGTGGTTGGCGCATACAGCTAGAATACAACCAAAATTACATGAGTTTATTCATAAATTTGACGTGATTGATGGCATAAGAAAATTAAAAGGCCTCAACTTATCTACCTGCATGTAAAGAAGTTCAATGGTTCCACCATTGGCAGTGGGCAGCACATTTAAAACATCAATAGCTCGGCAATCTCGAAACCAAGAAGGTCGATCCTTAAGGATTTCTGCAACCTGGAACCAGCATGCGGATCATAAACCCATAACCAATCCTCATAAAAGCTTCACATGGGGTAAAAGGAAAACAAATACATAAAAAATAGCATCTTTACCCTTGAAGGCTCAAGACCAACTAAGCCACAAGCTCTTGCTGCCACTCCAGTGCAACCATGAGAAATAGCAATGATTCCAATGGAATCCGGACCAGGCTACTCATAGTAACCAAAAAAGAGTTTACTTTGCATCAAGGTTTGAAGACAATAACAATGACATTAAAACATCAAAAGAGATAGAAGTAGTTATTTATTAGAAACTGGTCTGTACTTTGTATAGAAAATATCATATGAATTTCTCATACACTAATTAAGTTTCTCAGTGCAGAAAATGATTATTGAAGTACAGTCGAAAAGTTGAATACCAGGATCTATGTAGAGAAGTATGATATACCTTCATTCCAGGCATTTGGACCCACTCAACAGCAGTTCCAGTAGCCTTTGAAAGAAACTCTGTTAAAGTCTCTTCTGCAATGGACAAAAGCCTGTAATATACAAAAAAAACAAGAGCAATTTAAACAACCCACAAGGCTCAAAAACATAAACCAAGCTTTGTGTTCCAAAGCACATGTTCAAGATAATGACTGAAACCTCATAACCACACCCACCCTGCAGGACTGGCATCCCTTGGGGGATGCTGGGGTGTCATCTGGCGCTGACTACTTGTCACCACTGATTCACAACTGGTGTCTTTTGTAGCAAGCGCTGCCAGCTGTGGAGGGAAATAGAACACTTGTCACTCAATATATGCAAGAAACCCTTCGTTAGTTAGGACTCAAAATGCCATAGAAAAACTAAAACATATCTATAGTTTGGAGCCATACACAAGGAGTTTTGCTACGGAAATAGCCGTTTTGGTATACTAGTTGTGACACTTGCTTCTGCAATCTGTCATTCTCCTCCAATAAGAGTTTGTTCATGGCTGACAGCTTCCTGTTTACAGAATGAAGTCTCGATGACTCTTTCCTCTGTTTCTCCCTGCATCTGTATTTCAAGAACGCATAGCTATCAATCACTTGATAAGAAGGGCAAATAACTTACTCCATATTTAACTAAATATTAAGCATCGCTAAAATGGTTAACAGTATTGAATCTACAGGATGTGTTACAAGTAAGAAACCAAGAAGCAAGATTTGATACCATGAATTTTTTTATGATAACTAGCCTCAGAACGAGAACTGCTATGTAGAAAAATAAAAGGTACAAGTAAAACAAGTAAAAACTAAATCTTTGCATGCAATACACTTGTAAAAACAAAATATGTTTTGGGTATTTGGTGATTACCTGCGATTTTGAAACCAGACTTTGATTTGCTTGGGCTCAATGTTGCTGAGAATATGGCATTCACGTATGAGCTGCTGACGGCGCATTGAAGTGGGTTTGGGGCACTCATGGTAGACCCTCTCAAGGGCTTCAACCTGCTCAGGTGTGTAGCGGACATACTTGCCGTCCAAGGCTGTCCTACTATCCTTGCGGGAAGTAGACATCATGTTTCCTCAAAACCCAGACTCCAAAAAACGTTATTTCGCCTACAACTTATTCAGAAACATGAAACCCATACATTATATTTTTTCTGCTACTTAAGAGACTGATTGAAGCAGAACAAGACTAATGACACAAGGTCAGCATTTTTAAAAAATGAAGGTAAAAATGCGGACAAGCATTTACTGAACAGCACCGAACACCAGAGTATACTATATCTGACTATCTCAGACCTACCAAACAACCACTAAATATGTACTCTTCCTACCCGATTCCCAAAACCACCAAGAACCCTTGAATAAGTTCCTTCTCTGAAGATAAAGCTCGAATAGATAGAGTGCTGCGGCAGCCGAAACTAACACCAGACCAACGGATCTTGAAACGACGACTGAAAAACGAGGTTAAGGTTAAAAAGATCGGATTTTGAGCTGGATGAGGAAGACCAGAAATGGGTCTTCATCACTTGACCGTATTCTCCTTCAGTTTGTCTTGAAAACTTTGCAGCATCTTTATGGATGTGAAATGAATGGGCTTTGAGTAAAATGGGGAAAGGCAAGTCATGAAAGTCACAGGGAGAGGGAGAGAGGAAGAGTAAAGTGGGGAGTGGAAATGGGTTTAGCTTTTAAGGTTGGGTTTGTGTGGGTGGCACCGCAGGTAAACGCTGGATTTTGAGTGGTCAAATGAGACTTTACTATTTGCCTCATGCTATGTACAGTGGTTCATGATGATGGATAGTATCTACTGTCAGACAGTGCTGAGCACAAAACCAGATATGTATACATCTTTTCTCTTACCCTTTTGCCTCAAGACCAAATAGCCCCTGTCCCCTTAAATGCTTCTTTTCCATATTGTTTAATTCTTCATTTATTGTTCCAAAAAGGTGGAATCTCCCACCCAGGAGCCCCACCCCGATCCGATATGATGGTGGGAAGGTTAGTCACGGTGACTCAGTCAGCAGAATGGCAGTAGGTTTATACACTCGTGCGCACCAGAGGCTCAGCCTTATTTCAGGTTCTGTGACCTCCACCCGATCACTGTGGGGATTCGAACTTTGGTCCATTGTTCCAAATCTCCCACCACTCGACCAACTGAGCTACCCGTGCAGGTAATCCTTCATTTATTCATTTCTTAAGCTTTACAACAGAATCCAGAAAAAATCATAAACTTTACACTTTATACGTAGTATTAGGTAAAAAAGACTTTTTTATTACTTTTTCATCACCTGCTAATAAATGACCTAGCAGGTAACTCTTATGCAAAGGTTGTTATATATACTCTCTTCATCCTACATAGTATAAAACAGTTCACCGTGATTTACTCCCCCACCATCCTGTCGGGTCGGGGTGGGGGGCCCTTGGGGTTGGGGATTCAACCTTTTGGACGTAAAATAGTTCACGCGTTTGATTTGGATCGAAGTTTAAGAAAGTGGGAATAATGTAGAAATGTATAATTGTGATTGTGTAAAAAAAGTAAATGAATGTGAGCCGCACAAAACTTTCCAAAGAGGGAAATGAGAAATATTTTTTGGGACAGCCCATAAAGGAAATCGGGACTATTTTGCGAGACGGATGGAGTACTTCGTAATAACCTAAAAATTCCGACACAAAATTTGAAGGTGTGTGTTGAATTCGCGTTAAAATTTATTATATTACCTCCATTCCGGTGAACTTGGCTATTTTCTAATTAGGTAGAAATAAAAAGGTAAAACTTGTGTAGTTGAGTTTTGTGCATTAGAGAGAGAAAATGAGTAGAATCACAAATTAATTACTTTAATGAGAAAATAGTAAAAAAATTGAACAACCAAAATAAAAAGGTGGTAAAATTCAATGGGATGGAAAGAGTACTTTATTTACGTAGTATATTAATATTCAAACTCTAAATTCTAAAGCTGTTTTGAATATTCATCTTCTTTTTTTAATCTTTTCCGGTTTATATCATATTAATTCAAAATTTTGCATGCAAATCAAAAAACAATTAATTAATTAATTAATTAATTAAGAAAAAACGTAAAATTACTTGAAACTGAGTCCAACGCAAACGTTGCTTTCTTAACACGTTTTTTTCTGACACACGTAGCAAACGCCTTCCAGGATAGAGCAGTTCTTCGTTCCCAACAAGACTCTGACGAACTCAAAGATGCACAAGGAAGCAAGAGCGGAAGAGGAAGAGTTGTTGATTTTCGGATTGTCCAAAATAGGAGAACAATTGGGTATATATAGAGCTTTGGCAATGATCATGAGTCTCTAATGCAAAAGGCACCTTTAGGCACACAGAATGTTTGACCGGTCAAAGACCCAAACCAGAACCGGGCGGGCGGGTGGCGGGACCATTGTGTGAAGAGTTAATTCCACGCTCACCGTATACGAGTCTCATCGCGCAAGAAATTTTGGGTGTTCTAGCCCCTAAGGGCCAAACCCATTAGCTAAGAAAAGCTTGTATAAGGACTCAATTCATTTCCGAAAATTCTTTCTAAAAATGGTTTTTCTGCAAACTCGGAGAACAATTTCTCATTCCTTTCTAAATAATTTTGCACAATTTAATATATCGTTGTGCTCACCTTTTGGAGTAATATAATGTGGATCCTTTATTTATTTAAACTCAAAGGTGGCCATTATGTAATGGGAAAACCATTTTTCCCAACATATAATATTTTCTTCATCTTTTAAAATTTTGTCATCTTTCCTTTTTTGATTGTCATAAGAAACTTTATCATTTTCTTTCGAACCAGTCAATTGGTGAATTAAACAATTTGACAAAGTTTTGAGGGACAAAAGAGAGAGTATTATTCACTAACCCAACGGTGTCTTTGTATTTTGTAAAATGGGATCGAACAAATAAGTTTGATTTTATAAAATCCTATTACAATTAATACATAAACATTGGCCCATTCTAACTCATTTATAACTCTTGTCTTATTAATTACTCCGTATTATATTTGTTGTATTTCCTTATTTTAATGTATTTCCAAAAACATCTCGTATCATATTTAATTGTATTTATTTAATTTCAAGACCATTTGTTCTTAACGATTCCAAAATTCATTATATAGTTCTTTCTATCTAATTTATATATTGTTCCAAAGTTAGTGGGTGTAGGGAATATGCACATACTTTTAAGAATATTAATATTAATATTTTTGTTACTATTATTATTGTTGTAATTACTATTAATAGTTTAAGGGTGGTTTAGTCCTTTCAAGAGTTACATCAAGGAGGGATAGTTTGGATGATTTTACTTGGACAGTAATTTGCTCGTAATTTGTTGGTCCAGTCTGGTCTGGTATGTTTAAGTCTAGTCTGATTTGGTCTGATTTGTTTAAGCCTGGTCCGGTCTTAACTGGTCTGGTTTGGTTTGTTTAAGTCTGGTCTGATCTTAACCGATCTGGTCTGGTCTGATAAACGTTCGGTCTCCGTGAATTTTATAATTACGGAAAGTCAAGTTTGGTCTGGTCTGTTTAAGTCTGGTCTGGTTTGGTTTGGTCTGTTTAAGTCTGGTCTGGTCTGGTTTGTTCAAGTCTAGTCTGGTGTTATCTGTGACTGAAAACAATCCAAGTAAAAACATCCTTTGTCTTAGAAAAAAGATCGAGTTTGTCTTTTGGGTATTAATGTTCAACGTAAAAGCGTCAATTTTGGGTATTAATGTTCAACGCAGAAGCGTCATTTTTTCTAGGACGTCGTTCCTGTTTTAATTTGACTCAATTAAATGAATCAAACCGAAAATTAAAACAAGCTTTTACTCGAGCATCATCGTTTTTACAGAGTGAACTACAGACAAAATCAAACAAAGAACACATTAAACCCAAAACAATCGTTGAATGGTGAATATTATATGGTATAGTTGGTTGCATCATAAACATGGTGTAGTATGGCAATTTCGTAATTGTCTAGAACACAATGACTGTTGACCTCCATCAATACATTTTTAGGAAAAAGCGATTAAGATTGTCTTTTGGGTATTAATGTTCAACGTAAAAGCATCATTTTTGGGTATTAATGTTCAGCGCATGCATAAAGTAGTTTTTACTGGGGTGTCATTCATGTTTCAATTTGACCTGATTATATGAATCATCAAACCTAAAATTAAAACAGGCTTTTAATTGAGCAGTATCGTTTTTACGAAGTGAAATACAGACAAAATCAACCAAAGAACACATTAAACTCAAAACGGTCGTTGAATGAAGAATATTATATGGTATAGTTTGTTGCGCCATAAACATGGTGTAGTATGGCATTTTTTTAATTGTCTAGAACACAGAGACTATTGACCTTCATCAATACATTTTTGAAAAAAACGATTGAGATTGTCTTTTTGAGTATTAATAATGTTCAACGTAGAAGCATCATTTTAGTTGGGGCATCATTTCTGTTTTAATTTGACGTAATTAAACGAGCCAAACTCAAAACTAAAGCATGATTTTACTCGAGCAATATCGGTTTTACGAAGTGAAATACAGCCAAAATCAAAGAAAGAACACATTCAAACTCAAAACGGTCGTTGGATTGCGAATATAATATGGTATAGTTGGTTGCACCATAAACAATATGGCAATTTCGTAATTGTCTAGAACACAAAGACTATTGACCTTCATCAATACATTTTTAGAAAAAAGCTATTGAGATTGTCTGTTGGGTATTAATTTTCAACGTAAAAGCATCATTTTTAGTTATTAATGTTCAACGCATAAACGTCGATTTTACTGGGGGCGTCGTTCTTGTTTTAATTTGAACTCATTAAATGAATCAAACCTAAAATTAAAACAGGCTTTTAATCGAGTAATATCGTTTTTACGAAGTGAAATACAGACAGAATCAACCAAAGAACACATTGAACTCAAAATGGTCGTTGAATGGTGAATATTATATGGTATAGTTGGTTGCACCATAAACGTGGTGTACTATGGCAATTTTGCAATTGTCTAGAACACAAAGGCTATTGACATTCATCAATACATTTCAGAAGAAAAAAAACAATTCAGATTGTCTTTTGGGTATTAATAATGTTCAACGTAGAAGCGTCGTTTCTGTTTTAATTTGACGTGATTAAACGAACCAAACCCAAAACTAAAGCATGCTTTTACTCGAGTAGTATTGTTTGTTACTAGGGGTGAGAAAACCGAACCGAAACCCGAAAACCGACCCTAGCCCGGATCGAAATATGATAACGGTCCGGCTTATTTCTTTTTGACCTGCCCGAATAAAAAAACAGACCAAACCTGAAATTTCGGGCTCATTAGCGGGACCTAAAATCTATAACCCGGCCCAGACCGATAAAAACCTGAAACAATTAGCTTTAATATAAATCCAATATAATATACCAATATAAATTATAAATTAATTCATAATATATGATTATAATCATGGTAGACGAAAAAATGACTTAATAACTTTTAGTGACTACAATATGTTCAATTTACATACCGTAATGACCATGAAAACATATTTATAGTACTTTTAGTCACATTTTTATCCATAATTTTATTTCCTAACATGTTTAGAAACCCCATATTATTTATTTTCATGCATCTTGAACAAAATATTATGATAATTGTCTTCTTTAGGTTTGAATTTTTTGTGATTTTGGAGACTAATACTCCGTATTTATGTTATTATTTGTGGTTTGTGCTTTTGATTATTTTTTATCTAAAAATAGATTTTAAAATATAAAACAATAACTAGATGATTTCACATCCGGGCTTTAACCGGTCCAACCCGAACCGGGACCGAACCCGGGCTACAAAAAACCCGACTCAGACCGAATATAGTGGGCTTTGTTTCGGTCTCTAATTTTTATAACCCAAGACCTTACGGGTAATATCTGGGTTTAGCAAAAACCGGACCCGGACTGGACCGATCCCACTCCTAGTTTTTACAGAGTGAAATACAACCAATATCCAATAAAGAACACATTAAAACTCAAACCCGTATTGGATGGCGAATATAATATGGTATAGTTGGTTGCACCATAAACATGGTGTAGTATGACAACTTCTTAATTGTCTAGAACACAAAGATTATTGACCTTCATCAATACATTTTTAGAGGGGAAGATTGAGATTGTCTTTTGGGCATTAATGTTCAACGTAAAAGCATCAATTTTGGGTATTAACGTTCAAGTGTTCAACGCAGAAACGTCATTTTTGTTTTAATTTGACCTAATTAAATGAATCAAACCTAAAAATAAAACAGGCTTTTAATCGAGCAGTGTCTTTTTTACACGGTGAAGTACAGACAAAATCAAACAAAGAATATTAAACTCAAAACGGTCGTTGAATGGCGAATATTATATGGTATAGTTGGCTGCATGCACCATAAACATGGTGTAGCATGGCAATTTTGTAATTGTCTAGAACACATAGACTGTTGACTTTAATCAATACATTTTAGATAAAACAATTGAGATTGTCTTTTGGGTATTAATATTGTTCAACATAGAAGCTTCGTTTTAGTCGGGGCGTCGTTTCTGTTTTAATTTGACCTAATTAAACGAATCAAACCCGAAACTAAAGTAGGCTTTTACTCGAGCAATGTCATTTTTTACGGATTGAAATACATACAAAATAAAACAAAAGACGCATTAAAACTCAAAACGGTAGTTGGATGGAGAATATAATATGGTATAGTTGGTTGCACCATAAACATGGTGTAGTATGACAATTTCGTAATTGCCTAGAACACAATGACTATTGACCTTCATCAATACATTTTTAGGGGAAAACGTTTGAGATTGTCGTTGGGGTATTAATGTTCAACGTAAAAGCATCATTTTTGGGTATTAACGTTCAACGCAGAAACGTCATTCCTGTTTTAATTTAACCTAATTAAATGAATCAGACCTAAAATTAAAACAGACTTATTATCAAGCAGTGTCGTTTTTACGGAGTGAAGTGTAGACAAAATCATTCAAAGAACACATTAAACTCAAAACTGTCGTTGAATTACGAATATTATATGGTGTAGTTGGTTGCACCATTAACATGGTGTGGTGTGGCATTTTTTGTGATTGTCTAGAACACAGAGACTAATACTTGTGCTTTTTCCTTTGTTTCTTCTTCTCATTCCATCTTCATTTTCCTCTTCCTCTTCTTTTTCTGCCATTTTACTTATTTACCTTTCGTTTCACATTAGATGAAAATTTAGTAAAAACATTGATATGTATAACTTAAATCGCTAGAGGAAGAGAAAGTAATCTACCTATACCATATACATTATAGTAACTATTACTCACATTTGTGTAAATAAATTTTATTTAAATAATATTTAAAAAAAAACTTAAAATTGTGCATCACACTTTTTAATTAAACAAA